TTCTGCAAGTAGTAATAATCCATTTTCGTCAGACGTTTGACTTTTTTTGTAAAGTTATAAGTAGTATATTAAGAGTTCGGTCATTTTTTTCAATATTTAAAGTTGTTTATCAGTAGTAAACGTAATTTACAGTCAGGCGTCTTAAATAATTTTATAATTTTCCTACAAGTAGTAAAAGTCCATTTTTGTCAGACGTTAGATTTTTTGTTAATATATACGTTAGTCAATTTAATGTTTAAGCAGACATTACAATTTGTAAATATTTATAACAGTTGTAAAAATAATTTATAGTCAGATTACGTTTAGTAATTATATAATTGTTAACTAGTAGTAAAAGTCAATTTTTGTCAGACATTTTTTGTAAATTTACAAGTAGTTAATTTAATGTTTAGTCAGACATTACAATTTCTAAAGTTTTTTTTATCAGTAGTAACAGTAAAAGTAATTTATAGTCAGGCAACGTTTAGTAATTATCTGATTTTTCTACAAGTAGTAAAAATCCATTTTTGTCAGACATTAGAATTTTTGTAAAATCAGTAGTCAATTAAATATTTTATCAAACATTTGAATTTGTGAAGATTTGTATCACAGTATCAGTAGTAAAAATAATTTTCAGTCAGAAGTAATTTAAGTTTGAATGAAATATAATTATTTTTCTTTTAGTCAACCAAAAATTATTTTTGAATTAAACATAATAATTTTGATTCAACTTCGTTTTTGATTTAATTACGTTTAATTAAATTATAATATATCTTTAATTCAAATATATTTTAAAGTCGAAATCTTTCTTAATTCAAATATATTTTTTTGGTCTGCTACTTATTTTTTAATTAAAAAAAAAATTTCTCTGCGAAGTTACGACATTTGATTCTAATCGTAAATGATATTTATAGTCCTTCTCGTAAATTTATAAAAATTTCCTTCAAGTATAGAAACAACAAATATCGTAAATAATAATTAAATACTTTTATACTCATTACAAAAAAAGATTTCCAATAATTCGAACTGTACGTATCCAGTTATACACTGGGTCAGCGAAATGATGCATCAGATTATTCTCAGTTATATTCAAAACCTCTCGACATAAATATTTATCGGTTATTGAGATTCGACTCCTCCGAACGGTTCTTATTCTTATTATTATTATTAATTTTTTCTTTTTGTTATTGAGGACAAACTTGTATTTATGCGCGATAACCATATGCCGTATACATGCTGTGTGTCACACTTAAAATTTTTTATTTGTAAAAAAAAATTCTCTATTTGGAGGCTTCTTGAATGAAAAGAAATAAATAAACATAGAGAAACGGTAAACACAAAAAAAATAGCCGTTAAACACGCATTTTAATCATGTAAAAGTTCATTAAAGAATTAATTCGCGCTTAGAATCTGTTAACGGGAGTATACGTGAGCATTTGAGAGACGTATTGCTAATTTTCCCTCCCTCTTTCTTGCAGAAATCCATCACACGCTTCAGAATATCCATTACATGCATAGACAGAGATTTTAATTAACTCGTTTCATTACCATCTGAACTTGTAATTTCTATGACTTTAATTACAGTTCAGCCCAAAAGAACAAAGAGCTCGATTAATCATCGGCTGGTAAATTGCTATCTTTTTCTAATCATCGGCTTAGAAATTAAAAAAAAAAAAGGAGTATTCGGAAGTGTAATTTTCCTAACGAGATGAGACATAAATTACTTCAGCAAATGAAATCAATAAAAAAAGTATTTTACGTTTTTCAATATTATTTTTTCAAAATTAATATTCTCTACTCTCTTATAATAATTTATTGGAGATAAATTTTACCATTACTCAGAATTAAATTCAATTTGTTCTTATAATGACAAATTAGATTCAATTTTCATTGCGTAAAGAAATAAATTACAATATTTAAAAAATTTTTTAAAAACTATTATTAATATTAATATAATTATTATTATATTATAAATATTATAAATATTATATAATATAGAAATATTAAAATACTAGCGAATTTTACGCGCGCTAGTGCATGAAACAAGCGGTGTATTTAGTTTATTATAATTATTATGCAAATTGCAAAATTTTATATTTATTTTCAAATAAAAACGTCAAATTTCGAATAATTTCAGATAAAAAATTTAAAAAAAAATTTTTTTTTTCTAACTAATTATGGTGGGGGGTCAATTTTCTTAAAATTTTTTTTCCAATAAAAATTTTTCCCAAAAAACTAGTTATTATTATTTATAATTCCCATAAATTTTAATAACATTTGTCGAAAGAATTCAATTATTTTAATTATAAAATATTCTTCACAGAAATTCAATTATTTTCCATATTTCTGGAAAGAATTTAATTATGAAAAATTTTTGAAGTTTCATTATAAAATCCATTTATTTTTACCCATAATTCTAGAATATTAATAAATTTCTGGAAAGAATTTAATTATTTAATTATTTTCAAAAATAATAAAATTCTTCGCAAATATTTAATTTTATTTGCAATTATTTATTTTGATGAAATTTTTTGCAAAAATTTAAAAAAATTTTTTAAAATTTTAAGAAAATTTTTCTAAGAATTTCAATTATTGTCAAAAATTCTAATCAAATTCCTCGCAGAAATTCAATTATTTTCAAAAATTTAAATTTAAATTCTTTTCCAGAATTTAATTCTTTTCATAACAAATGAAATTCCTTCTAGAAATTCCATTATTTTTGAAAATTTTAAGAAAGTTATTCAAAAGAATTTAATTACTTTCATAAATAATAAAATTCTTCGCAGATATTTAATTATTTGGAATTATTTATTTTAATGAAATTCATAGCAGAAATTAAAAATTTTCAAAAATTATAAGAAAATTCTTCTAAGAATTTCAATTATTGTCTGAAATTCTAATAAAATTCTTTGCAGAAATTCAATTATTTAAAAAAAAAAAATTCTTTCCAGGAATTTAATTATTTTTGAAAATTTTTCAAAAGAATTGAATTATTTTCATAAATAATAAAATTCTACGCAGATATTTTAATTATTTGGAATTATTTATTTTAATGAAATTCTTAGCAGGAATTAAATATTTAAAAAAATTATAAGAAACTTCTTCTAAGAATTTCAATTATTGTCTAAAATTCTAATAAAATTCTTTGCAGAAATTTAATTATTTTAAAAATTCTAATTTAAGTTCTTCGCAAGAATTCAATTATTTTCATAAAAAATAAATTTTTTTTTACAGAAATTCAAGTATTTTCGAAAATTTTAAGAAAATTTTCCAAAAGAATTGAATTATTTATGAAAATTCATTTTTTACAATTTTAATAAAATTCTTCAAAATTTCTTTAAATATTTTCTAAAATAATAATATTTTTCTCAGGAATTCAATAATTTTCATAAAGAATTAAATTTTTTTTTTATTAACTTTGATTTAAAACAATTGTGTTCAATCAATTTTTGCTATTATTTAATCTTTAAACCATTAAATTAGAATTTCATTAATTTAAAAAATTTTTAATTGAAAATCTTAAAAGAAATTATCAAAAATATTGAGACCCTCAATGAATAATCATATTAGTAATAATAAGAATAATAATATTAATAATAATAATATAATAATATAAATATATATATATATATATTAGTTATTAAATTATTTAACAAATAAATACATTATTAATATTTTTACGAATATATAACTACGATTTTTGATAAGCGCAAGAAGAATAAGAAGAAGAGAATTCGAATTGTCGATAAAATATAAAAAATATTTATAATTTATATTTTATTAAAATTAATAGCAAAAAATTCAATTCGATGTCTCATTGTCCACTTTCTTAGTGTGGTTAATTATATTTTTGCCAATTACCATTCAAGATTAGGCTTGTTGGAATTTTTCTTGAAGCTATTATGAGGATGACACGCGAGACAGTTACGATCACGCGACACGGGATTCTCATTATTATTATTATCATTACCATTATTATTTTTTTTATGCTTCACTGTATTATAAAAAGCAAATAAAAAATAACTGTCTGCACGCTCCGTTTGTTTTTATCTCTTTTCCCTTATTATTTGATAAATATCGACAGTTCGGGTCCACTGACTCAGAAATTCGAAACCTCATTTCTTCTTTTCTTTTATTTTTCCCTGGTCCCAAAAAGACTTAGAAAATTGCATTCAATTTCGTGTGTGTGTGTGTGTGTGTATGCGTTTCTTTCTTGTTTCGTTAAAAGTTAAATAGTTTGTCAAGTTTCTACTTGTTATTTCTTTTGTATTTTTATATATAAATATATATATCTAGTTTCGTGTGAAACATAATTATATTTCTAAAAAGCAATGACCTACATCTTTTTATTGCGAGAAATTTTTATATGACATGAATCTTTTATAATAATAATAATAATAATAATACACGGAGAGAAGAGTTGCAGTAAATGTGACAGAACGCGTTTAGTAAATCATTTAGTGCACCGGTTAGTGGCGCCAACTGTATGTTTAGTATAATACACTACGACACCTCTCTGTTTAGTAGAATATACTGTTTGCTCAGTGTATCTTACTATCTTACTAAACAGTGCAGTAGATGGCACTGTCTGTACCGTCAGTCCAAACCTAACGATTCTGTTTAGTAGATTTAACTGCCATGTCAGTAGAATCTACTACGCCCTTCTCTCCGTGTAATAATAAAAGAAATGTTAAAACGGTTTTTTGCTTAGAACTTTCATTTTTTAGTTTGGTGTCTGTTGATAAATAATTGTTGCTTTACAACAATTTATTATTTATTTGTTTTTATTAATTATTTTTTTAAAGAAACATTTCGGTCCATAAATTCAGTTTTTCCAAATATATCAAAATTGAGAGCAAAAAAAATATCAAAATTGTTTCTTTGCAACAATTTTGATATTTTTTTTGCTCTCAATTTTGATATTCTTAGAAAAACTCTGTTCGTCAGATATTAAAGGACGTGTCGAATAAATAATAAAATTGAATGAAGGGAAAAGAAAAAAAAATATTGATTTCACAAACCTTGGAAATGCAAGTCTGAGATCGGCCCTGAGTTTGTTGAGAAGCTCACTGACGGAAGTAAATTGCCTCAGAGTCATTTCACCACTTCCGGATGCATAACCGGAACTGGAGCTTGTCGTTGAGGGCAAAGTTCCATGAGAATCCTGAGTCGATCCCAGAGGACGTCTCCCCCACCTCCTCAACGCTATGGCATAATCTTCAGCATTGTAGGTAGGAGGCCGCAAACGCTCCTATCGCAAATCAAGTAAACTTCATTAACATAAATTGCATTTACGCATATCTTTTAGATCTTATCTTTATCATTTAAGAAACTTTAAAACAGGAAATACTTTATTTTTCTAATCAATTGCCATCTCTCTCTCTTTTTTATTTTTCTCACTCTGATTACTATTCTGCAATCTCTCTCTCTCTCTCTCCTTCCTTCTACTTTTTGGCCCTAATGACAAAAAAAAAAATTGCTGAAAAATTGCTATTCTCGTTTTTAAAAAATTTTCTCATTCACAATTTATCAAAATAAAAAAATTTATAAAAAAAACAAAATATTTTTATTTTATTTAAATAATATAAAATTATTTAACAAAATTAATTAATTATAATAACAGTAAGAATTTAAAAAAATTCTCGTCAAAATTTCAATTCTCTTTATAAATAATAAAATTCTTCTCTGATATTCAATTATTTAACAAAATTTTAATCAAATTTTTGTCAAAATTTCAATTATTTTCAAAAGTTTTCTAAAATTCAATGATTTTCAATATCTACTATTTCAATAAAATTTTACAAAAGAATTCCATTATTAAAAAAAAAGAATAAAATTCTACGCAAACATTCAATTATTTTCATAAATAATAAAAATTTTTACATGAATTCAATTATTTACAAATTTTTTTTATAAATTTCTTCGCAATAATTTAATTATTTTCATAAATAATAACTTTTTTACAGGAATTCAATTATTTTTATAAATAATAAAACTCTTTTAGGAATTCAATTATTTTCATAAATAATAAAACTCATTGCAGAATTTCAATTTTATTTTTAATGCAATTTTAATCGAATTCCTCGAAAAATGTAATTATTCTTAAAAATTTTATTAAAATTCGTCCAAAGAATTGAATGATTTAAAATAAATAAATAAAATTCTTCTCCAAATTTTCAATTATTTTCAAAAAATTTAATAAAATTCTTGACAAAATTTCAATTATTTTCAGAAATAAGAAAATTCTTCACAGAAAATCAATTGTTTTTAAAAATTTTAATAAAATTCTTTCCAAGAATTCAATTATTTTCAAAACTAATAAAATTTTTCGCAAAAATTTATTTTCGACTTCAATTATTTTCATAAACAATAAAACTTATTACAGAATTTCAGTTATTTTTAATACTTACTAATAATAATAATAATTCACTGAAAAAATTACATTCTAATTTTAAGAAAATCTTCTTAAATATGCGCCAAGAATATTCCCCACTTAAATTAAGTGAAAAATATTCTTACAATAAGAAGAACATTATTATTGTGAGAATTCTTCTCAGGAATTCAATTATCTTTGAAAAATTTAATGGAATGCATCACGAGAATTCAATTATTTTCATAAATAATAAAATTCTTCTCTGAAATTCAATTATTTTCAAAAATTTTAATAAAATTCTTGGCAAAATTTCAATTATTTTTAAAAATTTTCCTCATTTCAATAATTTTTAATATCTACTATTTTAATAAAATTTTCCAAAAGAATTTATAAGAAAATAAAAATTTCACAGGAATTCAATTATTTCTATAAATAATAAAATTCTTTTCAATTATTTTCATAAATAATAAAACTCATTGCAGAATTTCAATTATTTTTAATGCAATTTTAATTGAATTCCTCGAAAAATGTAATTATTCTTAAAAAATTTTATTAAAATTCGTCCAAAGAATTTAATGATTTAAAAAATTTGTTGATAGTTTTTTATGAGAATTTAATTTCAAGAAAAATGAAATTATGATATTATTTATTTTTGTATTTAAATAATTGAATTCTCGTAGAATTTGCTAATAAAAATGGTTTTAAAAATGAATTTCAGTTAAAATTTTAGATTATAATTAAATATTAAAAGCATTATAACGTGGATTTTTAGAAATAATTAAATTTTGAAAAAGTTTCAAACTATAATAATTGAAATTCTTAATTTTTCATATTTTTGACAAACAATTCTGTAGAATTTGATTCTTTTTAAAAGTTTAACAGGATTTTTATTGAAATTATTTTAAGTTTTTATTTTTCAATAGGGTAAGTGCGGGTATAGTCGGACAGTACTAGTAGTCGGACACTTTCGTGTTTTTTGGCAAATAAATAATAATGCATTGTGATAATTACTTTAAAAAGTATACAAAACGAATGTGTGAAGTTTATATTTTATTAAAATAGTGTTATTTTCGAAAATAATTAAACAAGAAATATTTTATTTAATGTTTTAAAAATCATGGTGTCCGACTATAGATACAGCCATTTTCGAGTAGCGCGATGAGTGGCACAAAGTTTTGTTGATAATTAATCATAAATATTAAAACTTATAGGGTTTAAATATTATATTAATAACTTCTAATATGCTTTAATTCCATTTTCCAGTAGATAGCAATTAAAAAATTATCTTTTTCACTTTATAAATTCAAAATATCTGACAGATGTCCGACTATAGAAACAAGGGGAAAAAGTGTCCGACTACTAAAGCATTCGTAATTTTTTATTAAAATGTTTATATTTTATTAAATACTCAACTATTTGTAACAAATTTATATGATTTTTAATCCTGAAGAACTTCTTTAATTAATAATGTGCTTATAAACACATTAGATATTTGCTATTTCAAGAAAAAAAGCATAATTTAAGATTGTATCCTTAAGTGTCCGACTACTAGTGCATTTACCCTATATGTTTAATTGCAGACTTTCCGAATAATTGAAATTTTTTAAAATTGAATTGTAAACGAATGAATTTGAAAATTTCAAAGAACTTTTTCGAAAATTATTAAAAATAATGGAATTATTGAACAATTTTAGTAAAAAACACTAGAAAAAAATTTAATTTTAAAAAAGTTGCAAATTATTGCAGAAATTCAATTATTTTCAAGAGTAATAAAATTCTTCTTTTAAGGATTCAATTATTTTTACTAATAATAAGACTGATCGCAGAGTTTTAATTATTTTTCATACTATTATAATTGAATTTCTTGAAAAAAGTAATTATGTTCATGCAAGTTTTAATAAAATTCGACAAAAGAATTCAATTATTTCAAAATTTGTTAATAAAATTCTTTACGAGAATTGAAATTTGAAAAACATTTAATTATTCAATAAATTATTTACTTTTTCACATTTAAATAATTAAATTATTGTAGAATTTTCTAATAAAAATTGATTTTCATTTCATAAAAATGAATTTCAGTTAAAATTTTAGATTATAATTGAATATTAAAAGCAATAAAGCGTGAATTTTTAGAAATAATTGAATTTTGAAATTAATTTTTTTTGAAAAAGTTTAATTGAATTTTCTTTTATATTAGGGTAAATGCACTAGTAGTCGGACACTTAAGGATACAATCTTAAATTATGCTTTTTTTCTTGAAATAGCAAATATCTAATGTGTTTATAAGCACATTATTAATTAAAGAAGTTCTTCAGGATTAAAAATCATATAAATTTGTTACAAATAGTTGAGTATTTAATAAAATATAAACATTTTAATAAAAAATTACGAATGCTTTAGTAGTCGGACACTTTTTCCCCTTGTTTCTATAGTCGGACATCTGTCAGATATTTTGAATTTATAAAGTGAAAAAGATAATTTTTTAATTGCTATCTACTGGAAAATGGAATTAAAGCATATTAGAAGTTATTAATATAATATTTAAACCCTATAAGTTTTAATATTTATGATTAATTATCAACAAAACTTTGTGCCACTCATCGCGCTACTCGAAAATGGCTGTATCTATAGTCGGACACCATGATTTTTAAAACATTAAATAAAATATTTCTTGTTTAATTATTTTCGAAAATAACACTATTCTAATAAAATATAAACTTCACACATTCGTCTAGTATACTTTTTAAAGTAATTATCACAATGCATTATTATTTATTTGACAAAAAACACGAAAGTGTCCGACTACTAGTACTGTCCGACTATACCCGCACTTACCCTATTTGAAGTTTTTATTTTCTAATATGCATTTAATTAAAGAATTTAGAAATAATTGAAATTTCGTTAAATTGAATATTGTAAACAATTGGATTTGAAAATTGCCAATGAACTTTTACGAAAATTATTAAAAATAATTGATATAAAGTAAAATTTTAGTTAAAAATTTTTGAAAATAATAATTGAATTGAAATAATGAGAATAATTTCGAAGAAGTATAATATTCTTATAATATAAAATAATGATTTTATTACTTGGTCATCTTTAGTTATTATAAAATATGAAGAAATGGATGACTCCGAGTCTTCGACTCGGAGTTATCGATATCTTCATGTTTCATAGCAATAAAAAAATTTAATGAACTAAAATTTCATTCATTGTAAAAAATAACACCAAAATTGATTATTTTAATCTTTTTTTAATTATTGAATTTTTTAAATAAATAAAAACTAAAATACTTAAATTTAAAAGTGTAAATAAAAAAAAAATGTCTTGTTAAATGTTTCAAGAAAAGAATAATGTGAAAATAATAAATCGGCGCATTTTTCAGTCTGTCAGATTAATTTTTCAAAAAGGCAAAATTGATTTCTATCTCCTTTCATGCGGGACGACGACGCGGCCAATGGGAATAAAATCTTTTCAGTAGTTTCACAATTGTTCAAGTAGTAAAAGCGATAATAACTATAATTTCATCGAGTTAAGATCAGAAGGGGTCATGAAATTAGTTGCACACTGTATGTGTATTTCATATAGTTCGAATATGGCTATAATTTAACCCCTAATCCTGTGGTTTTGTTCGAGAAGGCATACAAGCAGCCTTATCAAATCAGTGTATCAAATGACCTATACTAAACTCCATTATAACATCGAAATTGCCAGTCATAAGTGAAAAGAGAAAAAAAAATTACACCGCTAATAAAAAAATATTCGATATTTTATTTTTTAGAAAGAAATTCGATACTTTTTTTGAAAAGAAATTCGGTTTTTTATTTTTTAAAAAGAAATTCGATATTTTCAGACTTCGCACTCGATAATTAATTTTC